CAACTCTCTTTCTCTCTCTCTCATATGCAATTACCTCTGCGAGCATCCTGCGACTCCTGAGACTGCCACTGACAGAGCCAATTAAACTGGGTAACAATCATTCTAATTAGTGAAGCTGCTCCACGGAGAAAATGGAACTATGTTAGTGTGAAGGTGTGCTGAAGCTGCACACAGATCCACTGACATTAACCACAGAATCGGCTGTGATTCACAAGCTCGGGGATCAATACGGAGGCCACAGACTCCGTATACCTGCCAAACAGAAACAACTACACATCTGTTCTAAAGGAAATCATCTGTGAGAATGAATACAGACGCTGCAAAAGGCTTGAATCCATTAAAAAAAGCAATTATTAAATGTTAATGAAAAGATTCATTCTGCCTCTTCACCAGTTTCAGCACAAATGTCCAATGTCCAATGTCGTTTTAAGACACTTAAAGGCAGAGCTGGAGTCAATATATATGATTAATGAAAGAGTTATATAAACTTTTCTCTTCTGTTTCACCTGAAAGGAATAGTTCAGAACATTTTTGGAAAAAGTCAGTAGCTGATATCACTCTAATGTCTCTGCTTTCATGTTTTAGCTCAGCATGAAGGCTGAAAATGGGGAAACAAAGAAATCCGGCTCGCCTATCAACACCTCTGATTTGCTGAATGACCGACTGATGTAACTCGTCCCTCACCCATCCATAAAACAGAAATGTAACAAGGCTAAAAGTCTACAACCATGCTAACAGCTCTGTAGGGTAAGGGACTGTGGCCCTTTGACCTTTAGCTCAGCATGCTAACATCCTCACAATAACAATGCTAGCAGGGCTGGTGCTCAGCAGATATTTTTTACCATGTTTATCTAACTACGGTATCTTAGTTTTTGCACATTAGCGTGCTAACAGAAAGGAAAGTATATAAAAAAAACAGTTTTTAGGGGGAATTATGTGCTGAAACAGCTTCTTCACTAACAGCCAGGTGCAGTGATTGTGCACAACTTCCTGAGGTCTTGCCATCACGTTGACATTGCCTATACAGATACTAAAACCTGTTGTCACGAATTACATCCAGCATCAGAAACACTGCACAGACCAGCTGGCCGCACTGAAGCACCGCTCCTTATCTAGCTCCACTTGCTCTTATGTTTCACTTTAGGGTCATTATGATTCAACATTAAATGGTAAATGGACCTGT